AGAAAAAGAAGAAGAAGAAACCCTAAGCACTAGTAAAACATAAAGCGCCACAATAGCTCACCACTGTAAATATATAGATTACCTTAAAATATGTTTACAAACACCATAAAATTACTGTCACTCGAAGAAGAAGAAGAAGAAGAAGAAGAAGAAGAAGAAGAAGAAGAAGAAGAGGAAGAAGAAGAGGAGGAGGAAAATGCCTCGAGTTGTTTAAAAAGTAGGTACAAACAAAAAAAAAAATTTAAAAAGTGGGTATAGGTTAAATGGGGCGCGACCAAATAGGGCGCTAGTGCAATTTTTGCAGAAAGGCTCGTATACGGTCCCAACATTCCAATCTTAAAATTGTTGTTTGTAGGTGGTCAGTTAATTTTTGAAAAATCAGCCGAAACAGCCTCTCAATCAACCGCTTAAGCTAAAAATAACTAGCGCATGTATAATAAATGTATATATATATATATATATATATATATACCGGTTACGAAAAATAAATACTCCATCTGTTTCAATTTATGTGAACCTGTTTGACTGGGTACGGAATTTAAGAAAAAATGAAGACTTTTGGAATTTGTGGTCCTAAATAAGTCAAAAAGGGGTCTGAGTATTTGTGCGGTTATGAAAGCTTCTCAGTAGGGATAGAATTGAAAGTTTAAGCTAAATTGTTTTCAAATTTAGAAAGGGGTCATCCTTTTTGGAACGGACCAAAAAGGAAATAGGTTCACATAAACTGAAACGGATGGCGTAATAAATTCAGACGGCTATTTGTGTAAAAATTCCTTAATTTTTTGATAAACAAATCAATCATCATTATATCCATTTAATGACGGATAGAGAATGATATTAATTTCTTTTAATAATTATATTAAATTAAACTATAAATTATAACTTGCTTAAGTTGCTCCAATTAACATTAAAAGGTTACGTGCTATAATACGTATTTGAACATCCAGTCGACGCTAAACATAGACATCAAATTGAAAAACTGATTTCAATGCTATTATTTTTATACTGTATTTGAATATTTTACAAGAGAAACCATTAAAGCATCAAGTGCATTTTCTAGAATAAAAAGCATACTAATCTATTTGTAAACCAATTTAGAATACATTCAAATTGGTCTTACAAATGTGTCAACAGTGGAAATAATTAGCTACTTGATGAAAGTTCAAACGAAAAATATTATTCTTTACAACACAATAAAAGATTAAAAAAAAAAAACAAAAAAAGAAAACAAGGATTTTACATCATGTCTTGTGTACAGCAAAATCAAGAGAGAATTTTAGTACATTAAGCAAAGAAAACCTCCAACGGGATTTGTATCCCCAATGAGATTATTTACTTCTTCAAATAAAGAGGATCAGAAGGCCGTAAACAAATATTAACATGATATAAGTTGTAGTTACTCAGTATAGTAATTTAAATTATATTTTATTATAACTCGTTTAAGATGATGTTAATTGGTGATAAAATAATAAACATTTGAATAGAAGTCTAAACATAGATTTATCATATGTTAATTTTCATAGTGAAACAGTATAAAAATTACAACGAATAATGTTTAAGACAAGTTATTGATAGCTGAAAACTTATCGAAGAGTGGAGTTCAAACTAGGGGTGTACAAATCAAACCGACAAACCGCATCAGCCCGATAATCCGAGTCAAACCGAGAAAAAAAACCCGACTATGGTTTGGTTTGATTTGGTTTGGTGTTGGAAAAAAAAAACCCGCCTAATAGTTTGGTTT